TATATCCAAATCATCCACTTGTTTGGGCGTCCGCAACGGCTTCAGTCGGGAGGTGCTCTCATGCAAGGCTGGGAAGCCTGTGTCGGTCATTGGCGGCAGCTCCACTTGTTTGGGCGTCCGCAACGGCTTCAGTCGGGAGGTGCTTTCTTGCAAGGCTGGGGAGCCTGTGTCGGTCATTGGCGGCAGGGCATCTTTCGTCGTCCAGCAAATTTGTCGGATCGCCATCTGCGGCCACATCTGGAACATTGAGCCTAGTGGCAAAGACTGGAAGGTTTGCTTCACATGGAATCGTCCATTTTCGAAGCTGGCAATTTCTTGAGCACCACGAAAACCGCCCGAAATCGAATCCAGTAAGAAGATGAACCACTGCTGGTCCCCAGTCACCAGCCACTGGCCATCGTCCGTGAACGTCACACGGCAGCTTTGCCCGACAATGGCCTGCATGCCCCGGAAACCGTCGCGGCTGTTGTTGGGCATGATGCACGGAACGGTGGCCATCCTGATGTACGTGGTACAGAGTTGGCTAGTATTCGAGCCGATATCTGTTCGCCGACAGACAGAAGTTGCTGCATTCAAAGAAAGCGGTGTTGCTGCTGGAAAGTTTACGCTGCATAGATCAAACTTGGAAATTGAAAGTGTTGCATGGTGTGCCAGCTAACATGCGAACTGCGAAAGAATCACTCCATTGAAAGCATCTCAGATACTGGTATCAACCCTAGCTGCTTGCATGTTCGCATCTGGCGCGGTGCACTCGCTCCATTTTTCTGCGAGGGCTTGCAAAATGGGCTTTATTTAACCAAGCTCCATAGACGGCCCAAAGTCTGAGCGCTCTCTGGTTGGCGCTCTGTCTCAGGTGGTTGGAAAGCCGCCGAGAGTCCTATATGTAAAACTGCATCCGCACCTTGATATCCAGTGTCCATAGATCTGTGCAAAATGGCCGTGAAGCACACTGCTCATGCCTGCACAACTCCAGACTTTGCCGGTCTACTCAGTAAACTCCCGCAGCATTCGCCACGTCAGCAAGTTTCCGAGGCATTTGGCAGGAACATCGAAGCCTGTGTTACAAGCCTGGCACAGAGATGCTGGCCATGCTGTGCTGCGCAAGCTGTGGAAGAGCCGAAAAGCTGTAAGAAAAGCACGGGCAGGACGTGGCTGAATGAGCACGAGAAGCTTTGCATGTCTGGATCATCAACTTTGCTTTTGCAGCCATACTTACAGTTTGTTTGAACAATGAAGTCGCTGGAGCAATTCCAAGATCGATGGTTGCATGTGCAGCAGCATCCTCCTCAAGCATCGGTTCATGTCGTTGTCGAACCAAACTGAGTCGGTGCAGACTGCTCGGAAGCGAAAGTGGTTGTGTTTCCGTCGAGTTTGCTGGTGCGGTTCAAGTCAGCGTGAATTGTGACCTCTGCTGCTCGGTTTTGCCCACGAACCTCGCACATCTCCCTTTTGGCTACTGGCTGGCGCTGAATGGTCTGTGGGTGAAACGTTCACGCATGGCTGCTTACACTCTTTCGGCACGACTCCTTTCTCATTCATCCGTGTTCAAGCGAGCGTGGTGAGCCCAACACCTGTTTAGGGCGGTGCTTTGGGTTGCGATGGACCGGTTTGGATCGCGTCGAAATAGTTTACGACCTTCAGCATGTGTTCGTAGTCTTCTACCGACACGAAGCATTTCCAGTCGATGACGGTGAGGAATTGCGAGACCATTTTCTCGAGCTGGTGCGAATCTTCCATTCCCGTAGCTCTGGCCATAGTTCTCCAGCTGAGGCATGCGTCCGAGAGCCAGGTGTAAGCGACGACCGTAGCGCTGGCCACCAGCTTGTACGCGGTGGTCGGTTTGAGGAGGCCTGGGCTGTTCCGGACGATGCGTGAGACGAGAATCAAGGCGGTGACGAAAACGCTCTTTGGCTCTGGGGCAGATCGGTGTTGCAGCGCTGTATCGAAGAACATGTTCATGTGCTCGAAGTATTGTGGCATGCTCAGGCGGGGCAAATGAACGGAGTCGAAGCACGTCTGGTGAGTCTGGTAGTGATTCCGGACACCCGTCGAACAGGAGGCTGAAGACTTATTGCTGTGCCAGCTGTGGGTTGTAGAGATGTCTAGAAGTGTTGCTATGACGAGTCCGCAACCATTGCAGACGCGTTGCGTCTCCTTTTCCATAGCAAATCGGGGGTTGCCGACGAGAAAAGCTTGTGCTGCTTGAGCCTCGTGGTTGTTAAGCTTGACCTGTGATTCAATCGCATCCGACGCTCGGAAATCGCGTGACGGGGTGCCATAGTCGTGGCATTTTTCTGTCTTCTCATACAAGTTCTGCGTCACCTTGTGACCAATCGCTTCCTCAAGGCTGCGACCAGGACGGTTTGCCTTGGCACAACACCGGACAAGATCTTGATGGGATCCCGCTGCGATATTTTGCGCTAAGGCCGCTTCCGATACAAGCCGAGCCGTAGCCGACCGCGCAGCAGGACCTTCTCAGCGCTTCCGTCGTTTGCTCTGGCCTTTGAAAAGCGGAAGCATGGCAGGCAGGCTTTTCGGCGCGGTGCTGGCTCGGGCCTGGTCGTGGAAGATCTGGAAGGCAGATGCAGGGATGTGATGAGACTTCGACTCCATTGTTTTGCGAGGGCACCTTGCCGTATGCATTCGGGCGACAGAAAAGCCTTCCTTTTCTGCTACACTGCCTCAGCATTGAAGCAATCATCACCGCGTGCAGAATCGGGCCATTGGAACGAAGGATCTCCTTGTCGAGCCTCGCGGTTTGTCGTGGAATCTGCGCCGAGCTTTCATGAGGGACTGGCTAAGGCTGTTGCTCGTCGACGGGCTGCGCGAGCTTGTCGTAAACGTTGCTCGGTAAGGGTGCATCATCCAGCACATGCCGGACAACGGCAACTTTCGTAGCCAGGTCCTGGCCGTTCGGGACAAAAAAGCTCTGGAAGAACTGCAGTGCCTGTGAGATGCCGGCTAGATGAGGAAGCCGTTGATGCCGCTCCTTAGAAGAGGGAACAGCACTGTTCGTTTTCGGGTGTGTCCGTCGGCTGAGGCTCTTGCCGCCGTTGAGAAACTCTTTCTTGTCGCCGTGGCTGTGTATCTCATGTTGAGCCGGGACGTTTGTGATGGACGCGGACGGGGAAGTCGGGCTCATCTGACAAGATTGAGCCATACGGCAGAAGTGAGTCCGACAGCTTGGAAAATTGGAAACCCGCAAATTGCTTCACCATGCGCATAGCCACAGGACTGAGCAAAGAAGCGTGACAGTGAAGCAGAGGAGAACAGTATCGCCATTTTTGGCTGCTCGAATCTGTGCATCGAAGAAAGGCCAGCAATCGGAGCCGTCGTACAAGCAGCCAAGCAGGAGTTAGAAGGCGATCACAGCGCTGCCAGCATAGTTCTGCATGAAGCCATGATCGCCAGGAGCCCTGTTTTCAAGGCCTCGCGAAGGAGGGCAAAGGCAGCTGAGATCTCCGCCGTGCCCGCGTGCTCTAAGCGAAGCACCCTTGACTGGAGACCCTCAAGCCTGGCATGACTCCTTGAAAGCTCGCGAGAAAGCTCTCGGCGCAAAATCAGGGCATGGTGGGAGTCTTGTTGCTCGAGGTCGTTGGTCCGGGCTGACAAGGCATCCGTTCGTGCATGGATATTTGAGCACATTCCAGTGTTGTACGTCAGACTGTCCTCCAAACGCGACATGCACAGTTTCAAAGCCTGAATGTCTTCCTGCTGTTTCGACACCAAGGCTTCAACATCGGAGCTGGTTCTGACCAGGGCAGATGGGCCGGCGGTCTCAGAAGGCGTAGGAGAGAACTGCTCGATGGGTTCTTCCAGTTCGGCCAGTTCTTCATGCGACGAAGGACAGCGAAGGCCGCGCCGAGAATCTTGCATGCTGGATATGCTTCTTCCTAGTGGGAACCTGAAACAGCAAATCTGCGACGTTTGGTGCATGCATCGGCCCTTCGTGCGGGAGTGGAACACGAAATCTTGGTTAGTGTTACCCTTGAAAGAAGGCGATGGGCACGGAGCTTGCACACCAATGCCCAAGGCGACAGTTTGCACTTCCACTTTGGGCAGTTGAGTAGCACTCTCACAGAATGGCTTTAAGCAGCACATCCGCAAGTAGTCCTTTGAGTACGAGAGCCCTCTGGTTTGCTTTGGGGAGGCATCTGACAAGCGATAAACAAACCGAACATGTAGACACTCAAAATACCTATGCACACACATGCACGCACACACACACACACAGTGTAGCCGTCATATTAGGAACTTGCACAAGCACTTTGTTTCGAGACATGCCGGCGCTCCGTGCTCAAGCCCGCATTCTGCAGTGCTTGTTTCTGTCTGTACAATGATCGAGCCGAAACATCAGAACTTGTACCGTTTCAGGGTTTTATACCCCCTGCCGCAGCGACAGTTTTCGGTTCAGTCGTCCGGCATGACGCTGTACTGCAACGACAAGAACTTGGAATGGATGCGGGGCACCGCGCGTCTCGGGCTTTTGCAGCAGCAACGTGTCGGCGTGCAGCCGATGTCCGCTAATTGCATCCGTTGTGCGATGCTTGGGGGTAAGCGGCGACTGAGCTTCTCGACGTCGATGCAGTTGAACTCAAGGCGGATCCAAGAGCATGCCTTCAAGTACGTGTTGTCGTCTGCATCTTCTGCATTGGGTGACCCAACCTGTAGCAACAAAGCTTCAGATGCCAAGGTGCACAGCTCGTTGTGACTGAGGTGCACCTCTCGCAAAACGTTCGCGTGCGTCTTAAAGAATGCGGCGAGCGGCCGGGTGCTGCGAAGCCTATTATGATGAAGATAAATGGCTTCCACCGCGCCGTTGATGGCACCCAAGAGCTGCGCAACATCGATTTCGTTCAGATCGTTGTGTTCCAGATGCACTCTCAGAAGCTTGCGGGGCGGCTTCCACACACGAAGCGCAGAGCTCCAACGCTGCACCTCCTGAGGTCCTCTGACGAGGCGGACCAAATCGACGTTGCCGTCCGCACTCAAGCGCTCGCGTTCCGATGGTGTCAGCGCGTCCATGGCAGGCAAGGTCTGCTGGCAAAGAGCTGCAGGAGCACAGGAGCTAGGCTTGAACAGTCGGCTCTCCACACATGCGAGGATGTCTGTAGTAGCCCGATCCATGCTCTCTGATGCTGTTTCTGAACAAGTCACTGGCTCATTTTCCATCAAAACGAAGAGCGGCGCATGCTTCTGTAAGACGGGCGAGAGGATCTGTTCCCGCGTGCCTTGGCTGCGGCCTTTTGCCCACGCTCCAAGGCTACAAGAGCCTGTCGCATGATTTTGTTGAGGCCTTGAGTTGCGGTGAGACCCTTGTTGCGCACGCCGATCAGGATCAGCTGGTCGAGTCCCTCTTTCAGCTTCCTCCAGTTCTCCATCCACGCGTCTGCTTCTGCCCTGGACAAATCGCCTGTGCATTGAGGCTGTGCGACTGGCTTCACGCGGTTAAATTACGCTCCTGCCTTGGGTGTGCTCGACGAGGGTATTGATGATGT